TATCACAATCCATGCATCCATCCATCGTGTAAAGCTCATTTGTACATTCATTGCCCTCATCATTCTCAAAACATTTCCTCTCCACGTAAGTCCCCGGCATTAGGTCCTCATTTTTCCCCTCCCTCCCCGCCCCCACCCCCTTCATGAGCAGTTCGAAACCATCAGCTACTCCGTGGGAGAAAGATGAGGCTTTCTACTCCCAGAAAGCGTTACAGTCGTGGTGGAACTGGACCTTGCGGTGAGACCCCTGGCTTGCTGGTGTCCGACCCAGAACCACCATATATTTAATACCTCAGTGTTTTCCTTGCATTAACATAACAGGTTTTAATCTGATAAGCAGGGATCTGCCCTTGTAATAAATGCTACAGGGCGTTTCCCCCTAGCACCAACTCCCCCTGCTCAATGTAAATAGAGCTCAACCACTTAGGAGATCAATCTGTACAAAGTAATAACTCAGGACTGCAGCTCACAGTGGGACTAGACTAGCATAAACTCCTCATATCAACAGTATCTTACATTCTATGTAACCTTGGATAAATTATTGATGTTATCGATGCAACTGCCTTATACCCCATGGGAATGACTGACAATGCTTTCATTTTTTGTTGCTTTGGTCTTTTGTTTTTCTGACTTTGTTTTCACGTATTTATCTGTTTTTGGTGTGCTTGTGGATTTTGTTTTTGTCATAATATGTCCGCCAAAGTAAACCAGAGCATCTCATAACCCATGGACAAGCAGATGGATTCTGGGCTCCCACTTAATTCTAGCCCCATTCCAAGAACAGTCATTCCGTATAACATGGCCTTGCTGGATACTCGCCATCATGAAGAGATCTCTGAAGACCGAGATTGCTGTAAACTTGGTTATGGTGAATCAAACCATGGTATAATAGGATACTTGGTCAGTTGGCCTCCCTCTTGACCAACCTGAATTTGCTCTAGGCTGAAGTATTTCTTGTTTTATGACAGAAACTTATTCTCTGGCTTTTAAAATATTTATGGTGTTTTTTTCCTTACTCTTTATCTTTATATTATTATTTTCTTCTTGCCACTTTTATGAAGCAGGTAAGGAATGGATGCAGAGACAATAACTGGTGCAATGGTTTATTAGGATGTGAGGGAAGGGAGGGTCAGGGAAGTTGGGAAGCGAACAATATGTGGGAGGATGGAGCACTAAAGCAGACTGTGATAATGTATATACAACTCTTTTTAAAAGTGATTGAACTATGGAAGTTATGATATGTGAATACTATTTCAAAAAAACTACTTTTAAAAAGGAAATAAAACTTGACCAATAGATACCATGGGTGAAAGAGGAAGAGTTGTTGTTTAGGGACATTGAGTTTATGTTAATGGTGGTGGAATAATGTGGAAAAATAATGATTGTACAACACCAAGAGTGTCAACTGTGGGACACAATAACTTTATATATGTAAAGTTATTGGAGAGTGTTTTGTGTGTATATTTTTGCCACATTAAAAAAAATTACATGAGTACCGATGAGTACAAGAAAGAAGAAAATATTCTAGAATTGATTGTGGTGATAATGGTAGAACTCTTCTTGATATGATTGAATTACTGAATTGTATAACATAAGGGTAAAGTGCAAATAAAACTGTTGTTTTTTTTTAAAGTTAGCCATAGAAACCCACAGGAACAGTTCTATCCTGTCCTGCAGGGTTGTTATGAGTCAGAATTGTTTGTTTTATATACATATTTTTACATATTCTCTGCACATATATTGCATAGGTATGCATTTCTAGCACTTGTCTGTCAATTTGTCATGCGGTAGTGGTTTGTGTATTGTGATGCTTGAAGCTATGCCACCAGTATTTCAAATAGCAGACGGTACCCCTGGTGCACAGGCTTTAGTGGTGCTTCTTGACTAAGACAGACTAAGAAGAAATAAGTCGTCTGATTTTTGGTTTACTCACTGTAAACCTAATGAATAGCTGTGGAACATTGATCTATTGCCGAAAAATGAGCCCCTTGGGTTGGAAGGCATTCAAAATATGACTGAGGAAGAGCTGTCTTCTCAAAGTACAGTCATGGAGTAAAACTTTTGGGAATTTCATTTGCTGATACGGCATGACTCAAAAGATGGATTCATTCACACATTGGCTACAACAATGAGCTCAAACGTAATCGGCAAGATGACTTGAGACTAGGGAATGTTTTGTTCTGTTGTACACAGGCTTGCTATGGGTTGTAACCAACTTGAGGGCACCTAACAACAGTATATAATGTATATATGGGACTTCAAAAGTGCATGGACATTTCCCATTATCTTTTAATTCCATTTTCCATGAGCTTTTTGAAGCCTTCTGATATAAACACACAGACACGAAGTTCGTGGGCCAGTGGAAAAAAGATAAGGGATGTTTTCATAAACTTTCTGAAGCCCCCATACACACTTACACTTTTTAATCTGTTTATAATTTATTGCTTTTATAAATTGAATATTTATCTGTAAAATATTTTTGAACGTTCAGACATCTTAGTAAGATGCTGATAATTGATTAATTCGCTGCCATCAAGTCTACTCAGCCTCATAGCAACCCTATACAGGATGTCTGAGGTTATAGATCTTCACGGGAGCAGACAGTCACAATTGTTCCTCTTGGAGGAGCTGGTGGGTTTGAACTACCAACCTGGTAGTTAGCTGTCCAACAGTTACCCAACAGTGCCACCAAGACTGTTATTGATAACTGACAAAAACTCTTCATTTCTCAGATCTTTGCGGGTGTTACTGGAAGAAGAGCTCCATATCCTGTCCCAGAAGCATTCTTCTAAGAAACACTAACATAGCACTTGGGCCACCCTTAACTTACAATAAACAACTGAGGTCAAACTCCTGGGAGGAAGTGCCGTGCATTATTTTTCAAATACTCTAATGCCAGAAATTCAATTAAGAAATGATAGCTCCTACAATTCCTCTTTTTGGAATTGGTGAAGAATTTCATATAGGAAATCAAAACAACACTATAGGATATTATATTTAAAAGAGTGGTGTCTAAAGGTTTTATCTTGATAACTTCTAAGCTGAGGGAGGCAATAATAATAATAATATTCATCATTTTTATGAGTATAAGAATCAGAAACCTTACACTGATTTACTATTAAAACATCTGACAAATACTGAAGAAAATGACACCCCACTACACGTATGTGACCTAATTACTCAGGAGCAAATGACATGAAACAAAGAAAAATTCTATATTGGTGTGTAAAGAAAAATAATTTATGTAATAAAGGGAGGCTTTAAAAATTGTGATATTAATTTCACAGAACCTGAATTCATGTTTACATTGAGCGATCAGTCACCGGTTCTGCTTCAAGGGAAAGCCTCTGAGCCCTTAGGAAGAGCAGGAGCGACACCTACTGCTGAACTCAAGTATTTCTGGATTCCAACTCTAAACCCAAACGCACTGCCATCTACCGATTCTGACTCATAGCAACCCTGCAGGACACAGAATTGCCCCTGTGGGTTCCCAAGGCTCTAAATCCTTACAAAAGTAGACAGCCTCATCTTTCTCCCACAGAGTGACTGGGGGATTTTAAGCCCCTGTGACATGGTTCAAAACCATCAGCTGCTGCTCCACTGAAGAAAGATGAGACTTTCTACT